GATACGGGAATTTTAGTTCGAGATTCGTATAATTTCGCATTTTAATCTTCGATTAAGGTGTGCCTTAATAGAAGATTAAAACGCACTATCCTATTCCACTTTCAACTAGATTTCACAAAATAATTGAAAGTCAAAATAAAAACGACACTTTTCCCTCCAAAAGGTCCAGAGCGAATGAAAATATGATAAAAGATAATAAATAGACAATGACTTTGTTAGTATTTGTCTTTGGTTCAATTTTTAGATTTTCGCTCCACGCGTCAAATGACAGTCATCTGACAGCAATTTTTTTCTGTTTTTTGGCTTTCTATAGCTATTTTTAATGGTTTAATCTTCTAATGTTGACATGGTATAGTACATTATTGCAGAGGCCGGGAACTAAGGGATTGCTGAACGAGTATGAGTTACAAGGACGAGCGCCAGCGAGGGCTTGTATTAATACGAGTCAACCAATCCTCGTTCCCGCCGAGGCATTTATAGAATTTTTCTCAAACAGTTTGAGGAAATAATAAAAGACTAAAGAGAGGAAGATGTTTAATAGAAAAAGTAAAAAAAAGTAGTATTTGACGTGTTTACTATAATTTCTTGAAAAAAATGTTATTGTTTTTCCAGGCATATTAATAGCAGACTGCTGAACTTCTGATGAAGTTATAATTATTAATACAAAGATCGAACACTCGGAAAAAACACTCAGAAAAAATTCCTTCGATCCGGTCGGATTCGAACCGACGTCTTCTTGCATACCGTGCCAGATGCTATACCAACTAAGCCACGGAACGAACCAACGGACCTCACGAATTTTTCTATGTGCTTGCGTCGTGTCTTTGTACTTGGTCTTTCAACGACTTTTTAGTCGTAGCGCCATCTATGAGAAATCTTTGACAGATTTATCACCCAGTTAGTACCTTTACAGCTACCAGTCCTGGCGAGAGATGTCGCTATTCACTGTATTAATTAAATTTTTATTGAATTGATATTCAATTATGTTTTGTGAAATTACTCCACTAGTTTGTTATAATTATTAATACAAAGATCGAACACTCGGAAAAAACACTCAGAAAAAATTCTGATGAAGTGTTTGAATGTGTAATTTTTAATTCTCGCAACTATGAACACTGGACAGTTGGCTGTACGAGTCTTTCTTTTGTCTGTTTACATAGTTCATTATTAGCAGGTAGATTTAAAAGTTTAAAGAAGTGGATAGTAATGGATTTTCATACTTTGCAGGCCCTGGCCGGGCAGAAGTCGTATGGTCCATAAATGACAAACTTTCTGTATTCGTTTTTTAAAAGTAAAAATTATTTTTTCTTCATTAAAAAGTTAAATAATGCTCATAATCTTAAATAATGCTGAACTAAACATTAATTAAAGGGATGTTTGGTTGTTTTTTATTAGTAAGGCTGTTATTAATTATCCCTATACGTACTTAAACATGCAATTAGAAAAGAAACCGCGGCGCCTGCAGCGTCCTTGTCCCAGCATTAATTTATGGTAATCAGCGATAAGGCGAGTACTGTCTGGCAGAGTAGATACCGAACAGGCGCCATATTGCGAATATTTCAACTATACTTGGATTTTGTGGTGGTACTTTGTTGGCCTTCGGTATGAAAGTAAGCAGTATGTTAATTCGTGATTAAATTAAAAAAAAAACATTTAAACTTCCGTGTTAATATTTGTGAAATGAGATGACACATAAGATTTTTTTTGCGGGAAGTGTTATTTAGCCATTATACAAGTCTGTTCTCCTTGTCATAAACAACATATTTGCATTTCAGTAACTACCAAGATATCGGCACGTGACTTTTTTTTTTGATGTCAATGTCAATGTTCTCAGGAAGAAATTCTATAACATGGCCAATTACCACTTCTAATGTTCCATTGTGCAACACTTGTAAATTCTTGGGTTTCACGTTGGACTCAAATTTAAAACGAAGATCACATATACAGTCTCTGTGTGAAAACTGCGACCTCTTGTGTCCAATGTGGTATTAAGTCAGACGTACTTTGCATATTTCCGTTCATTGATGTCATATGGCATCGCACTGTGGGATAACTCAGCTGAGTTAAAAACGTGCACTAAGAACTTTAGTATAGTAGCTATAAGAAAGGTCAGTCCTGCAGAAACCTCTTTAAAAATACCATATAATGACGACGTACTCACAATACATCTATGATATAATAGTTTATGCGCGTCAAAACTTGAGCACTAAAGAGCGAAGTAACAGGCGTAGGCCGAGCGTTGCGAAACGCGGGAAAACTAAAATCCGTTGCCCACCGTACCGAACTCGTAACGATAAATCTGCGGGTAGTAGGTCCCCGATTCTGCGAACATCTACCCACAAACGTGAAAAGTGTTACAAACGGCGATACGTTTAATACCCGACTAAATGAAAATATATTAATTATTATTGTTTGCGTTAGTGACGATCATATTATCCCTTGACATTGTATTTTTAATTGTAATATTGTGACATTGATAGAATGAAATAACGGATTCTATTTTATTCTATTCAATGACGCTGATTTTGCAACAAAAATGAAACTAAATAAGGTATAAAAAAACCGATTAGAGGGGGGTTGTAGGCCTGGTTTCGCTGATCCCAGATATGTTAATATCTCAATTTCGATAAATATGTCGATTACGTTGTTTATGATCAAGACGGCAGAAGTGGAAGGAAAATTAGCTGTTTACACAAATTAAAGGGGCAATGTATGCGCTTCTTCAATAATATTACTGTTGATATTAAAAATTTGCCCTTACTAGGCTAATCGTACAGTAATCTAGGTACTTGGATGACAAAAAAAACATGGGAAATTATATTTTAAGCTGTTTCAGGTTGTTTCTATGATATTTTAAAATAAATATTGTATGCCATGAATGTGAACAATTATCTGTTTGCAAAGCAATCTCTTAAGTTTCTTACTCTTTCTTCTCAGGGGAATCTTAATTCTGCCTTACAATAGCTGTGTTGATTCATTTTGACGAGTTCTAATGCAATATTTAAATTTATTGAACATCACAATGTTTGATCACCATGATATACAATTACTTTTGCGAAATTACTCCAATAGTTTGTTACAATTATGAATACAAAGACCGAACACTTTTTTTATATACAAATGTAAGTGAGCATTTGACCTCCATCTCACCTGGTGGAAACTGATGATGAGGTCGACGATGGAGCACACACCTAAATAATGCCTATTCACTCTCGCCTTGAAAAGGTCCAAGTTATAACGTTCAGGGACCAAGTCTGCAGGCAGGGAATTTCACTCCGTAGCCGTTTGTTATATGAATGTGGAAGCATAACGCTTCGTGCGAATCTTTGGAATATCCACAACATATCCACAATCCAAGTCTACGCCTAGACCTCCGATGACGGAAAGGCGGAATTAAATCGTGTAATGCCATCGCACACTTAGAACAAATTCTTCGATCTGGCTGAATTCGAACCAACGTCTGCCAGCAAACTAAGCCACGGAACGACTAGCGGACCCTACGAATTTTTCTGCTGCTTGTTTCAGGTCGATATTTTTGGTTTTTAACGGCTTTTTACCGTAGCGCCATCTATGAGAAATGGATGAAACTTACAGCCAGGTACCTTTACAGCTACCAGCAGCAGACTAAAGATGTCGCTTTAATCATTCTAATTTTTAAGATTATTGAATGTTTGAGTTCTAATGTAATTTGTTTACTTAAGTAAGAAAGATATTTTGAATTTGGATTTTTACTTGTGGTCGCGCTTGTTGAGTAGAAAAAAATGGTTGAATTACCAAGTCACTTAAAAATTGTACTCAAGATCAATGTGATGCATTTAGTCATCCAAATAACAAAGACATCCTGCGTCGTCGCAGGCGCAGACGTCTGCCTGCCCAGTGGCAAGTGGGTCCTACTTGCGCCGATCGAATCCGCCAATAGCCTGTCCTGATAGTACCGACTGTGTCAAGAGGCTATCATTCACACTGAGTCAGTTAATACACGAGATATATAGGTTTTAGTGGTTTATTAATGTTATTTAGGTCACGTTATGCTCGCCACATAATGTCTTTGTTGTTTGTGGATAAGTAAATATGCTACTTCATGGATATGATGGCAAATTCACATATTTTTTAAAGCCAATCTGAGTCCAGCAAAGTAGCATTGGATTATGAGTATCCATTTCGGCTAAATTACCGAAATCGAAACTCATAACCCAATCAAATCTGCGTATATGTCGTGGCAACCAAATTAGCGTGATTTACGGGGATCTATTGTTATCAGTCCGTAGACAATATAAATTAATGCTTAGAGCGTTTATCAGTTCCAAATTCGAGAAATGACGGTCCGAAATGTCACAGACTTAGTGCACAAGGGACATTCGAAGTGGATCCCCACTAGTCTAGATTTGTATAATCTCGGATTCGGAAAGTCGGAGCCATTGAAATAACCAAATAATAACGTTAAATCCCTCTCCTGTAAATTTACTTCGGTGCAGATACGCGCCTTTTACCGATACTACATACGCTGTTTTGCACTATCGTCTACGATATTATATATTGAGACTTTTTAACAATGCGACAGTGAATCATTCTGAGTTTGATTTGTTTTGTTCAAGCATAGACACAGTTAGGCGGGAAATGACCAAACGTCACTTTGACACAACACGTGATTGGCGATGAATAAACTTTTTATTTATTTATTAATATAGCATTGGCTTCAGAGCCATCAGCTTAATGGTAACAAATAATCAAGAAACGCACAACGTAATATACATAAACTAAAAATTATTTCGTGTAAAAAATGTAACTACTAAAACCCGCCATTTCAGACCTGATGAATAAACTGATTTGTTCGTTTAGTTGTCTATTATTTTAGTATTTTTTTTAATTTAGTGACTGTGTTCTTGTTTTGTCTTAAAATCTGTATTTGACTTGCTAAGCACTTTATATTGTATTATTTGTCCGTGAATTTTCCTAAAATGTGAAAATAAATAAATAAATAAATGTCAAAAGCAACTCACCTCTCCTGTCCCGCGGTGTCCCAAATCTCGAACTTGACCGTGGTGTCATCCAAGCATACGGTCTGAGTGAGGAAGGCGGCGCCGATGGTGCTTTCCTGGTATTCGTGGAACTGGCCCTTGACGAAGCGCAGCACCAGCGAGGACTTGCCGACAGCGGACTCGCCCAGCAACACCAGCTTGAACTGACACACCTTAGTCTGCGGCGCGCCGTTCGGCCGCTGCGCCGCACCGCTTCTATTGTTCGCCATCTCCTGGAGACCAGAAAGTACATTAAATACTTCTGAAATATCTTCCAACTTCTCGTCAATACACCGTTGGACGGGAGGTAATATTCGAACAATAGTGTATAGTTTGACGTGCTGTTGACTACATGGAATAGCCTTTTCCAAGTGGTATAGTCATAAATATTAGGGTAGTAATAAAAGCACCGAAAAGTAAATCAACAATGATATATGAATTATCAAAAATATGAACATTACTGTATTATTCATTAATCTATCTAAATCTGTCATGCATTTCATTTCATCATTAAAAATAAGAAAACATTCTAATGAAATAGTGAAAGTTCCGAAAATTCTTGCATACGTAATACTATTTTTACCGAAAACTATTGTTAGCCATTTTCATCGTAAACACCAATTATAAATTTAAAAAATTATTAACGTATAAACATTCCACAAAGTTTGATATCTACTTGTTATACTACACACATCAAAAGTGTCTAGGGATCAAGCACGTTGTTGCTAATTACAGAAAAACTGTTTTTTTTAATGATTTTTCTTAACACCAACGGATTTGGTTTTGGTCAATTTAATTTTCAAATTAAAATTATAAAATTGACCGAAAAAATCCAGCGATGTTAAAAAACACCTGATTTCAGTAACTGGCGAAAACGTGCTTGATCCCTAGACACTTTTGACGTATTTCATCATTCGAAAGTAGTATTATAAGTGACAACATACGCATCGCTGACGTGGTACTTCTTTCGGAAGTACATACAGAGGTTTTCCCTAAAATGTTGTCTGCTAAATACGATTAGTTTTGTCGGTATATTGTATGTTTATTTTCCAGTAACTATTTTAACGCAGTTTAGAGTTAGCTACACTCAGCGATTTTTAATGCGTTTTACGAGCGGGCGTTGTAATAAAAATAATATTGAACAATTCTTGCAGATAGAAGAGGACGAAGAAGGCTCTTATTACACCCCTCAATATACATACACGCCACACTGCATTTACTGGATGGTCGGTTAGTGTGGTTCAAACCTTCCAACAACCTGAGAATAAAATGCTAGACAATCAAACCAAGTGCCTAGTCTCCAATAAGAAAATTCACACTACACACTAAGAGTTACCTACCTACCAGAGCAACGAATTTAATTCCGGGGCATTGGCAGAAGACCCAGACCAATTCAGAAAATTTCAGCTCCCAAAATTAACCCTAACGGGGAATAGAATCCGAGACCTTCTCATCCAGCGCCCAGAGTGCAAACCATTGTGCCACCGAGGTCGCTATCATTATCTCACAGATTCTCAATGTTCAAGCCTGAGTTAAAAAAACGAAATGGTGTCTATGATCATTATTTTGTTATAGCACAAAAGCAAATACCACGAAACAAAATTAAAATATCGATTTTTCAAATTTAAACTTATTACATGAAACTTTAATAGCCATTTTCGGAAACTTGAGTTCAGAACAAAGAAATCCTTTGTCTCAGTACTTTTTGTTCTCACATTTGACAAGAAGTAATGTAAATCATAGTAATTTTAGGTTTTCTTTACACCGTAATGAGATACAATATCATAAGAGACTGTTTAGATTTGTTAAAGATTACTATTGTATTTGAACAAGATATAAGATGACATTACTATATAACATTTCAACCTTTTACGTTTAATTAACAAGCAGAAATGTAAACAGAGCAGTTCTTTGGAACTGTTCATATCATTCATTCTTTCAAATTGACTGACTGGTAGTTTCAGTGCAGACCTAAGAGCTGTCTTAGTCGGGTAGGTTTTGATATACTAAGCAAAAGGTAGTATGGTCTTTTTTTAGTTGTTGTCAGTGTTAAAGATAAAATTGTGAAAGAACGTATAATTTTGCCAAAAGCGTCTGAATTGTGAAACTTACGACGTTATTTCCTTCTCTATTCTTATTTTGACCATTAGCCTAAAGTATCGAAATCAATTTTTATTAATACACATTTCAATAAGAACAGGCAGATTTGATTATTTATATTCAAATGAAAAAATTTTAAAATATGTCTCCTCATTGTATTTTTAATAAACATAGTTTTTAATGGAGTGTATGTCACCGGAAACTAATGAACTTACAAAAATTGACAATTCAAATTCAAGCGGTTGGACGACTTATGAGCCGGTGATGATTCAAATGAAACGAGCTCGGATATTTGTTGCACATAATCATTACCAATATTCAATCGATAGTCGATAGAATATTTATCGACTGCAATCACTAGCTGCTTGCAAGTGGGCAACACTTTTGCACAATGAACTGTAATCTTACTGCATTTTCAAAAAAAACAACAAACAAAGAGCTCAATTATTAAGCTATAATGATTCGTTATCTCTTGCCACTTATCTATTCTATACACCTGTCAAAAATACCGATTTACAGATATTCTATTCTATTTCCTTAATGGCGGCCACTAGGCTTGGGCCAGGCGAGCTTCATTGCGAAGAAATATTGGAAAATTGTTTTTTTTTTAAATTTTATCGTAATTTTTTATATCATGTATTTGATGTAACTCATTTGCTTTCTAGAGCTCCTTGTGAAAGAGTTCGTCCTGGGAAGTACTGCCACCTTACTGCTTATACGAATACAGTAATGTAATCGTTACTGCAGTTTTGAAAGGTAAAATCACAGGGGCAGTGCCTCTTGGATCTTTGCGATATAAAGCTTTATAAGTGACACTGCAAGACAAGAGAGGGAAAAAGGGAGAAAGGGAGACCATGCTTTAGATGGGAAGACGATTTTAAATATATTGCTGGAGGAACATGGAGGCCAACAGCAAAAGATAGGGAGAAATGGAAATCTCTGGAAGAGGTCTATGTCTTAGGGCAAGCTGATCAACAAATTTGAGTAATAATAAATAAGCAATATATAATAAGTGCGCATGTAATACAATGTTTATGTGTTAGATAAGTTAGTACGTAAGTTAACAGCAATAAAGGCTATACAAATAAAAAATAAATAAGTGACAATGGACACCTACTACCTACTATGGACAGACGTGTCGCTTACCACCAGGCGCACGACTCGTTCGTCCCGTCGCACACACACACACACACACACAAATTTCATAAATCGATGCCTTAACTTCTCAAACTCGTATCTTATAATAGAGTGCTTATTTTGGAGATGGCAAAACTTTCTATCTATAATTATTAATACAAAGATCGAACTCTCAGAAAAAATCTCTCGCCAGGACTGGTAGCTGTAAAGGTACTAACTGGGTGATAAATCTTTCATAGATTTCTCATAGATGGCGCTACGACTAAAAAGACGTTGAAAAACCAAATACAAAGACACGACGCAAGCACATAGAAAAATTCGTGAGGTCCGTTGGTTCGTTCCGTGGCTTAGTTGGTATAGCGTCTGGCACGGTATGCAAGAAGACGTCGGTTCGAATCCGACCGGATCGAAGGAATTTTTTCTGAGTGTTCGATCTTTGTATTAATAATTATAACAAACTAGTGGAGTAATTTCACAAAAAATAATTGAATATCAATTCAATAAAAATTTAATTACTTTCTATTTATTTTAAATTTCTTATCAAGGGTGTTAAATTGGATGCATTACTTTAAGAATAGATAAACGCCAGTATCTGAATGCGAAGGAAATGTGATGAGAAATCAACTTGCAGAATTTGTACATACAATCCATTTTTTGCATTTCAGTACATTTGTCCTTTAAGACACGAGTTTGAGAAAGTAAAGCAACGAAATGCTATTCCCCAAGTACAAGAACAAATTACACAGTGCAACAGAACAAGATCCGTCAATGTGTAGATTGATGTGCTGCCGCCTGTACATGATAGCAATAATAAACAAGTAAAATCACCATTAACCCAGGCAAAAAAACTCATTGGAAAAAGTGTTATTGTATATATGTACACTGTACAGTCTACAGCATATCAAGCTTGGTACTTTGAACTTTGGCTCTTATCTCAAACAGAATAGTGTTAAATTTACATCTTAAGTGTCACCCTGAACCCTGAACCCTGTACTAAATCCTTTACAACTTTAATAGGCATAATTTGCAATTTTGACCAAACTTAATTCACAATGGAACATAAAACTGGAAATTCTGAGTGGAAGCACATAAATAACTTATTTACAAACATAACTGCAAGTTGCGTTTATTCAGGCTAAATGGATGACATTATATGCCTGACAAATTGAAACTAGGGAATTTCCTATACCCTGTTCACCACAACAGCAAAAGCACCACCAAAGACACGAATTCCCAACATTCAGAGCAGAACTAGTTTTTAAAAATTGATCAGAAATGACACAAAGACTTTTTAAGAACAAACAAACTGAAAATGTTACACATTTGTCCAGGGAACACAAATGCTTACACTGTCTTTCCATACCTTTGCAGTACGCATCAGAAATGATGAAGGAAAGCTCTTCATGCAAATGGTCAGTTAATCAACAATGAAGATGGAAATTTCAAGACTTTCCAGTAGTCCTGATGAGAACAGGTGACATTAGTAGCAGTAGCACTCAATGTGAAAGAGTTTGCCCAGGGAAGTACTGCCACCTTACCTATTTCCGCCACCAAGCCGTAATACGAGCATTACAGGCACATGGGACTTTACAACTTCTCAGTATGTACGGATGCAGCGGCAGTGTCACTCAGATCTTTACAATTGAAAACTCTGAGCAGCACTGCAACTGTTGTGGACAGGCGTGTCGCTTACCACCGCCATGTAAAATTCCTGTGTACTTTCTGAAATTTATATGATAGAACACCAATAAACAGGCCACTATTCTGCAATATTCAAAATTAGAATATTTACAAAAAATGTCCATCTGTTTGCCTGATTTCATGTTTTATATTTGTTTTTGTAATATGTTCTTCTGTGTCATAAAGTGAAGTCGTATTATATTGTTAAGTAGCTCACATGTTGTACACTGATGACTATATTCTCTATTATTTAAGAGGCTTTGCAATGACATCACCATTTAGTACTACTACAGTATTTAATTATATCAATAATAGACGTAAATACCATATCGCGCGTTGAAATCAATACTGTCAGTAAACTGAAAAGCCAACTTACAATCAGCTTTAATCCAAAAAATTTGAATGTGCGTGTCACACACGTAAATTAACTAAATATTATTATCACAGTGTAGTAGACAAACACTATTATCACAATGGAGTAGACAAAGTCTACAGCTCTTATTGTAACAGTTATGATCTATTTTCCTTGATTACTAATTTATTTATCAGATACTGAAATAGGCCAAGAATATTTACATAATTAAAAATTACTAGTACCTCCCTGTGAAATCATAGAATAATTAAAAATAAGAAGCGAAAAATCAAAATAATTTGTTATATATTTATTTTATTTAATATTTTTACAGTTGGGAAATGCGGTAGCCAAGGTTAGGCAACAGATGCTGGTTTACGTCCAGTCAGATCGAAGGATTTTGTGTTTGTTCGATCTTTGGCTGTATCAATATTAAAAACAATCTTCATTAAATTTAACGATAACACCAGAGAACTGTCTGAGATGATTAGTGGCGTCTCTTTTAACACGGTTCTGGCAGAATAACAGCGTCATGGGAAACTGTGGCATTTATACTAAGCCAGCTAGCTCCCTTTCACTGCCATGACTTCCAAAACTATTTACTTTAATGAGTTATATGTGTAGTTATACATTCCTTTTGTTATAAAAATTTGTTATTTTTAAGTGGTTCAATACAGTAATAATTATGGTGTTAATTTTAATCAATCCTATGTAAATAAGCTGTCATGGAAGTGAATAAAGTTTTTATCTATCTAAATACTTATATTTTTATAATTACAATTCTTTTTTCTATACACTACAATAGTAGTTACTAGTTACAAATTAAAAATATGAATATTATTCCAAGGTTTCAAAGGGAAGTTTTACCCACGCTAATACCTTGAAGTTTAGGCAAACATACTCTGCAAATTCTGGTATCTATTTATCATCATCACACAATTTCAACAATTTTATCACATATATCAATATGCATTAATTCCTGTTTTCATAAGTATGAGGTAAATGACATGGTAATAGATACATGAAAGAATCCATCCATTAAAATTAAACGAGCACCATTGTTGTAGAAACCTTGGCTACTATTGACTAGACTAAGAACAAAAGCTCTGTTAATGTTGACAATGATGAAAAATACATCAGCACTACAGCTACCAACTAAGCACAAGCCCAAAAATTTCTAAGACAAATTTAGTCCACTGAAAAATCTCCTAAAGCATTGGCACTTCTATAGGTTGACAATTGGCAATCAAATAAGATTTTCAAGCCACTGGAGACCAGAATTTTGTGCAACGAAGGCGAGTACAATACAGACACTCACCGCGATTGGTAAACAACCATGTTATCTCCCGAATCGTGTGATCACAAAGAAACCAAAGACGCAAAAAACACTTTGTCTACAATATTCGACGCACCTCCAGAGAATACCATAACGATTTTCAATTAATCCGACTCTCGGACTCGTAAACGTGTCTATTGTAATGATGACTAACCGTGTCTGTCCGTATCAGTGCATTTCCTTCGCCGTCTGACCACTCGAATTGCTATAAAGACGCCCTCCGACCGAATCAGCTGGAAGGTCACGAAACCACCGAATCTAACACTTCACGCCTCGCTACACTTCTCGAGCTCGACCAACACGTAAATACTGAAGACAAACCTCCTGTTTCACCTCCACTCTGAACAATATTTGATAAAATGACGCATTTACTTGATTATAAGGATATGAAAGACGTACCCTCCCTGTTATTGTATCGCCGATATGCACTTTTCCTCGGGCGATAGATCCTCACGAGGTCGCCGTGATGTCAAAAATTTCATTAATTACACAGTTGTATGAGAAAAATCATTAATTTTAGATGCTAAACTGGAAAATCTAGCACAGAAAAGCGAAATGACCACGAACAAACATGGAAGCGAGACGTTTCACATAAAAGTGTCTATGGAATTGAATAGCAATACGTCATTTTAAAAAGAAACAGCTGATAGTTTATGGTAGAGGTTAGGTCTTTTATGAAGCAAATTTGCAATGTATTTAATCGTTTTATTTATTTACTATCTATATTTCTTTTTCCTTAATCTTTAATCTTTGAATTTTATATTTTTTGTATTTTCACTATATGTATATAATAATTAAAGACTTGCAATAGAAAACACCTGAACTTTGACAGTGACAGTGACAATTAACGATGAGTTGGAACTGACATTTAGCGTTGGATGAGTTGTATTTTTTTCAACTCGAATTACTCGAGTTGACCTGACTGCTAACTCCAGTTAACTCGACTTGGTCTCTGACAGAGCAACCGCGAGTCGCGAGTAGAACTCGACAAGATGATTCACCAAGTTGGGCTTGGTTCGGCGCGCGGCGGGAACGAGTCGAATACTTCATTCATACAGCGCGTCGGCTATTCGTTCTCACTCGGTCGATTCGGCGACTTTCGGAGCACGCTCGAGTCGCGGCCGGCCTATAATGCCCAACCCGGTAAATCGTCCTGTCGAGTTCTACTCGCGACTCGCGGTTGCTCTGTCGGACACCAAGTCGAATTAGCTCGAGTAATTCGAGTTGAAAAAAATACAACTCGTCCATCGCTAAATGTCAGTTCCAGATGGAGAACGAGAATACGAGGCCCGCACTGAACTAGCTCGAGTTGACTCGTTGTCGAAGTAACTCGAATTAAATAACTCGACTCGGCCATCCTTCGCGACTCGGGCGTGCTCCAAAGGTCACCGAACGAGTAGCCGCTGCGCATTGCGCGTTATGAATTAACTATACGGCTCGGCGGGACGGGTACTGAACCGAGTTAGCTCGAGTTCATAAATAAGAACTCGAGTTGACTTGTTGTGGAAGTAACTCGAGTTAACCGAGTTAAATAACTCGAGTCGCCCATCGTTACTGACACAACCCTACTGACAGGCAACGACGGGTGGAAAGGAAAGTGGGAAACATAGAGTACATACATACATAAGTGGGAAAGCGTCAAAAAGTACTTTGTTAGCGTGTTGCGTTTTATCTGAAAGTAGTCAGACATTCTAGAATTTTGGTGTTTAACTTTCAATCAAAACAATAGTTCAGGTTGGTACAATAACTTAAAAATGAAGATAACCCGGTACAAAAAAGTGCAGAAGTATTTGAGGTTTTATTACAACAACTATGGGTTCCACCAACCTTACCAAGTGCTAATCGACGGCACGTTCTGTTTCGCTGCTTTTAAAGTAAGTCTTGCTCCAAACAACTGGAGGAGACTTGGTTTTGATTACTGATTGGTTTAACTTACACTTAGTATGGCCTACAAAGTATTTATCCAAAACATGCGTTATAAAAAATTTATACGAAAAAGTACTAATACGTCCACAGCATGGACAGCAAATACCGCCGAGACGGGAGGCTGATAGACATCGTGGACAACGAATGGCGCTTGGAACAACTCCCGCACGAGGACATTGAGGTCCCGCTCGAGGAGCTACCTGACCCGGAGGCTGACAGTGCCGACTCGCACTTGACGCTCAAGGAGCAGAGCTTGCGCTGGCAGGAAAACTTCCCCGAACCTTGCAGTAATCAGAACTAAGTATTCTTCATTACAGTGATCACTTCAATGGCCCCACTGAATAAACATGTATTATCTACACATTTATTACATATTATACATAGAGATGGGAAAAACTGCTTATTTTTTTTAAACATTTAAATGGTATACTTTTTAAAAAAGCATGCTTTTTTAAATGCTTTTTAGTTTGAAGCTAATAAAATCGTTTAGGAAAATGTTTAAGTGCATAGACTTTTATGTTAACGAAAGCTTGCAACGTTGTATTGATAGCGAAAAGCAAGAGTAGACCACAAACATTTTAAGATAAGTAAGTTTATTTGTAAATGCGTTTTATCTTATTTTATAACATAACATTATTAACATTTTGTTCATTGGCGTTTCAAAGCATTCAAAAACATAAGTTGTTTAACTTTTGTAGTTGTTAACCGTTGACCTGGAAAAAACAACTTATTTTTTTTACATTTAAAAAGCGTGCTTGTAAAAGCGCTTTTCACTTGAAACACTTTTTAGTTTGATGCTTAAAAAGTTTAAGCACATGGACTTTTATGTTTAAAAAATCTTGCAACATTATGTTGAATTAATTTGTTTAGGAAACATAGATGGCACTACTTGAAACTTAGGCACGTTTAAAAAAATGAAATTGTTGAGTATAGAACTGACCACTGACCAACACTTACACTTAAAAGAAAAGTGTGCTTATGCACTTAGTTTAAAAAGCAAACTTTTTAAAGTGCTTTTGGTTTGCGTGCCCACCTCTAATTATACATATCTATTCAGTCGGGCTGTTGGCTTGTCATTTCCGTGTAGTTAGCTACATGGTTTGCAACCTCAATGTAAACCATTTATATAACTAAATGTAATCATGCCTTGTTCTTTACCATTTCACAGGAACACATCAACATTAGAGACCAGCTACCAAAATATCTCAATGCACAAGTAAAGCTGCTCACAACACGGTGCATCATCATAGAAACTGAAAAGATATCAAAAAAGACGCAAGGTGCATTGACTATATTGAAGCAGTTTGGTATTCACGAGTGTGGGCATAAGGAGCCAGTTACCGGCTCACATTGCATATTGTCCATGATTGGCAAGAAAAATGACAAACATTACATTTTAGCTTCACAGGATAGAGAGTTACAAGAAAAGCTACGCAAAAAAGCAGGTACACCCTTGCTCTATCTCCACAATAAATCCCCCACATTAGAGAAACCTTCGAAAGCCAGTTATGATAAAGCTGGCCATACATTGGAAACCGATCCTCATATATTTGTAACTGAGACTCAAAATGTGGCACTCCAGCAGATGAAAAAGGCTTTAGGGATTGAAATGAACACAGATGAACCTAAATTACCTGTTACAAGGAAGAAGCCTCATAATCCTAACCCACTTTCTTGTAAAAAGAAAAGAAAGAAAACAGTTACAGCTATAGATGGGAAGGGTGGTGTAAGTGAACACAAAGTTAGAAAAAGAAAGAAGAAAAAGTTACCTAAGCATGTTAAAGAGCAATTGACGGGTAAATAATAAATTGATGTTCTTAATATCTTGTTTTATTTAACAAGTCACATTAACATAGTAATTAAAAAATCTACATGTTCCAAAATCCCTCATGGTTTCCAATCGATAATTACGATTTGAAACCAGGTGGGATTTTAAAAACCATCACAAAGAGTTTGAAATCGAATGAACTTGCAAAGTACGTGTATTCATTAGGAAGCTGGAATCACGTGCCGCATCCCTCAAACACACTTTATGAGCTCAAGCGTGAAACAAGGTTAGTTTAGTACATTCAGTGAATTCTATGAAAATCATATGCATCATAATAATGCACCTGGAAAGCAGATTTAAATCACTGCTATGGTCAGGCATCTTCCATTTTTCTTGTGATGAAATTGTTCATATAAATGAAAATTTTCTCTAAGTACATTCTAAATTGTTGAATTTACGCGGGAGAGCAGGCAGGTTGGTAAGGACTGACGAAAACAGGGACATATCAGCGGCACCGCCTGCGCCCGGGTGTAATCAATACCCTAGCGCCCTCTAGTAGGCATGCAATCAAAACTGAATACTAAAGCTAAAGCGTGAAACGCAGACACAGAGCGCGGGTGCAGGTCGTGTCGAGACCGCGGCGGGTCTAATTCCGTGTATTTATAGGGAACACAACACACCGAGCGCGAACGCAGAACGGGCCGGGCGGGCGCCGCGGTCCCGACCCGACCCGCAGCCGCTCTCTGTGTGTTTCGCGCTTTACAGTTATATTTTCCCTAATGTTCGGAAATAGAGAAGCAATAGTCCATTTAATTCGATCGACCTAGACTCTTTGAAGGTGATGGCGTCGCGAGCAGTGCTCGAAGCCCCTTAAAACCCCGCTCTCGTATGCGCCGCACGCCCTGCACCAAAGCTCAAAGGTAAATACGGCACCGCGTCTTACAGAACGTCAAGATCTAAAATACCCTTCACAGACGAGCGTGTATGAAAACATGATGCGTATTCAATTCAAGAGTCAAAAATTAAAGGCTTTGGTCTCGAGAAAGGAAAGGAGGTATGTAGGTGTAATATCAAACGTAAAAATATCATAATACTTTCTTTTTTAAGGTGAAATAAACAATACAACATATTTATCTAAGAAATCATGCAACTTCTGTAATTAGTAGGTGTTAACCTATTAAAATGCTTTTAATTAGTGTGTAAAGAATGTCGAGATTTTATATCCGAGGTCGTTTAGAAGTGAAATATAATAATGTTACTTTTTCATTAGGTCTTTTTTTGTAAATGCACATACTTCAAATCAAATAGCTTTGTAGTTTTGTTGAAATAAAGGGAAATTGAGGATGTTAAAAAAATAATTAATTTTATTGCATCTATATGATGGAAGTTTATATATTATTCAGCATGTAGTTATTTAACATCAGTAAAGTAACCTAAACCTATAACCTGCGCATATACTAGCATATCTTTCTAATTTGTGGTGCACCTGAGCCTAAGTCTCAATTTATATTGCGGCGGAACGGAATGGAAGCGAATTTTTGTAGTGTTGAACATAAAGTTCATTATGCTATGTACGTACATACAATATCGTTACAAAAATTCGTTCCATTCCCTTCCGCCGAAATATAAATTCAGCCTTATAGCTTTTATGGCGGAACTGTAAAAACGATCTATTCAAAGATTCATAGTGTTTGTGTTTGCGACAATGTTATTAATAGTCATTATGATTCATCATGTCAGCCGGAAGACGTCCACTGCTGAACATAGGCCTCCCCCAAAGATTTCCAGATTAACCGATCGGACGCGACGTGCAGACATCATCGGTTACCCGCCCTTATCAGGTCATCCGTCCATCTAGTAGGGGGCAGTCCCACTGAACGCCTTCCGGTTCGTGGTCTCCATTCAAGAACCTTTCTGTCCCAACGGCCGTCAGTTCTACAAGCTATGAGCCCTACCCGCTGCCACTACAAACTTGCTAATCCTTCGAGCTACGTCGTCGGTGACTTTCGTTCTTCTACGGATCTAATCATTTCTGATTTGATCACGTAGAGAAATGCCGAGCATTGCTCGCTCCATAGCTGGTTGAGTGTCTTTGACCTTTTTTATGAGACTCATAGTAAGCGACCACGTCTCAGAGCCGTAGGTCATCGCTGGCAACACGCACTGCTCGAAGGTTTTTGTCATTATCAGTCAGTTATTATGATTACGATGGATAATTCCCACAAAATAATAAATAACATATTGTGGTCTTAACTAAATCCCTTTCACGCAATGATGAGTAAGGGGTCCTTTTCTTTTTAACTGACTTCAAAAAAGGTAACGGTTCTTAATTTGATCGTATTTTTTTGTATGCATGTTACGCGATAAGGGTGATTCCTCCGTTTCGTGCATATTCTGCGTCCGATGTAAATTTCACTTTTTTTCGTAAAATATGTATATTGTTTATAAAACATACGAGACATGAGAGTATGTTGCTTACATGCATGTAGTACTTATGGTTACAGAAACGTTGTTAACAAAAGAACCTAAATTCTCACCTCCTTCGGCGTCCATTTCCTACTTTTCCTGATAAATGTTAAAATTAAAGAAAAACTAAAATATTAAATACAAACATACTCACTTTATAAATAAATACATTAAACACACGTCGAATACATGCAATGTATTTTGATTTAATTGTACAATATTTTGAACTTTTGTCAAATTATTTTATAATATTCAAGGAACTTTAAGAGAGAGTTTGTGTGTGACCTTCAACGCTGTTAAACCACTACTCTGCCCCGTACACATCGTTTAGGTATCCACAGAACATTGAGAAGGACTCAGGTTCGTTTATGGTAAAAAAATATAATCGTTTGAAGTGCCGAGGGAGGATATTATTTTGAATACGTTCTCTTTCCTTTCGTCGATTTTTATAAGTAAGTATTTTTCATATTTTCTCTGATGTACTTAATTATCAATACCAGTAAGTATTTATCTAATTTACAATGTTCCTTAAGCTCAAAATGTATTTATCATTTTAGAAAAAATTTAAAACAGTCCCAAATCTCACTACTTCTTCACTACCTTCGTTTACCATCGCTATTTTAAGTGATGGTAATGAGGTCAAAATGATGATAATTAGAATGTATTTTAGGGGAACCATTTTATTTTTACTATATTAATGACAATCATTGACAGGTGTATTTATTTGCATTGAAACGTGTGTTTATATTTGCAGATATCTCTGACAGACAAAAAATATTAAAGATGCCGAAGAAAACTAAGCAAATAAAAGAACAGAAACAAGAGCACGATCGAGAAAAAATTTGGAAAATAAACAAAAACGACATTATGAAAAGAAAAAGTAAGAGAATGCTATACCACTTTTAGTATACATTTCTCCACCAAATAGCGATACTGAAGTATTCCCTCTGGAATAAGGTCCTCTCAATGAACCATCACAAAATTCATTGCCTCGACCATCTATGAACTGCCCCAACGAAAGCAATTCTTCGAAAACTCCCTCCTCAAAAAACCGCCACAAAAAACTAATAGGATTACCAAAGAATGACATAGAAAAAAAATAATAAAGAAGAGGATGCAATTCAGCAAACGCTTTATAGAGTAATGAAAAATAAGAAGAAAAATTAAAAAAAAGAAGCTTATGTTTGGGGAAATTCATTCAAGAAGTATCAAGGAAGGCTACAAGGGGTTATAGAAAAGGGCAAACGTAAATTTATTCATATCCTTATGACAGAAAAAAATTACAAAAAACTTTTAACACAGACAAAATTATAGTACGGGAGAAAAAGGAAAAAAGACAGGCAGAGCGATAGTTTGGTGAAATTACAGGCACATGGAACTTGTCAACTTATGTCTCAGGGTGACAGGTGCAGTGGCAATACCCCTCAGATCTTTGCAATCTATAGCTCTGAGTGGCACTGCAACTATTATGTACAAGCGTGTAGCTTACAATCAGGCGCACGACTTGTTCGTCCCGTTGATATTATAAAAAAATTAATAGAGCTACTAATGACAGAGTTTTACGAAGATGATGTAGTGTCTAGAATTGCAGCAGATATACAGAAATAGCTTTATTTTTTTCATGATTAGCCAATGCTATCATGATTTTCCACAAGTAAAATCTGTTAGGTGGAATTACTTAGAATGTGGACATGGCAAAGGAGCGCAAGACGGAGTCATACAGATCAAGGGTAGGTTTTGCAAATTCTTGGGTTATATCCAATCTAAAGCAAAAATCTGTCTGAGAAACTTTATGTTCTCTGTGAGAATGTTACTATTTGTAATCACGGGAAACATATTGACACGTTGATATTCCTCCCTATGAAGATGTTAATACACTACAATTTCTTGAGTTTTCTGGATGAGATGAGAATACAACACTAGAGGAAATATCAAATGAC